CTCGCCCTGCCAGGTGGACCATTCTCCTAAAGTTTAGCCTCGTATGCAATGCTCCCTCTAAGCTGAGGAGTTTTGTGAGCAAAAATTCTACTTTGTGAGCTACTGGCATTAAAGTTGTGAGCGAGCGATTTGGCTGCTGCATAAATCAGTTTGCTTTGGAGCCCTCCTTCCTGAGCGAAGACAAAAATGTGTGAGCCGGAGGCTAAAAATCTGTGAGCTGGCTCACACTAACTCAGAGTGAACTATGCTCACATGTAGTCAACACCCCCTTCCTATTGGCTGGCTCCCCGCCAACCTGCTGAGTCATTCACAGGCCCCGCCCCTGCAACCACTGCTGGTCTCTTCACCCATTAAAACCCGCTGGAACCTATACTGTAAAGAGATTCTTTAACCAGGGCATTTCGTTTATTGCACAGATCGGACCTGACAAAACACAGAACAGCGACTCCCTGAGCCGACTCGTCCGCCCCCTCCCCACTCAACCCCAGCCAGCCACCCATCCGAAACTGAGAGAAGAGGCACCGTCGACATTCAGAACCATTACGCAAGGCGGAAAGCCAAAAACTCTTGGACCCCTCCCAAAATCCACACTTTTTAATGTCTGCCAGCGAGTCTTTTGCCGTGGAGGTTCATTGCGCCTCTTTCTGCACCCTTCTTTTGCCGGAGAAAACTTCAGAGTGGGAAACCAGGTCACAACTTAAAACTTTCCCGAGCCTGGCAGACCCTGTTAAGACCCTTGGAGCTCTGTTAAGGAGGCTCTGGACAGGAAGCGAGCCTGTGAGCCAAGAAACCCATTAAAGCACTAAAATAGCCCCCTTTCAAAGCCTCCGTATTCCCAAAGGGTACAGTTAGGGAGGTGAGGCCCGTGCCAGTTTTCCCATTACCTTTTTAAAAGGCACTCGGACGAAGCTTGCGCCCGGCTGCATTACTGGAACGGCACCTGCAGGGCTCCACTGGGTAAACAAAGGCTCTGATCGCCATACCTGGGCCAGGATCCTGAGAACTATCGGCTCCCGCCACACTCCAAATACTCCAGGCACACAATTACAATGGGGGGGGGGGGTTTGGAGCCACACCCCTCACAAAAGCGCTGGTGTGTTCTGTCTAAACATGTTCCACCCATGATTTGCAATCACCTTTTCAAGACCAACGTGTGTCACTGTGGCGTTACGAAACCTGCATTTGGGGGGAATGCCTAAAATGAATTTTGTGTGCCTTCCTTCCCCACAAGTACTTTCAGAAATGGGGTCGGCTGCATGCACGCTTTCCAAAACTAATGGCGTGTGTGTGTGTGTGTGTGTTTGATAGGTAGTGTTAATAATGCCTTTTAGCCTATTTCCTCGTTGCCTCCAATTGGTGCCCTCTTCCCTATCCGGCCCCAAATCGTGCAAAAGACTCAAAAAGACCTACAGAAGAATGTAGCCAGCTAGTCCAGGTCAGGGGACAGAGGCAAAATTAGGAGCGATTCTCTCTCCCTCTCTCGTTTCAAACACAAAGTAGCTGCTGAACAGATTCTGGAAGAAGCCGCACACCTCTGGTTTTCACTCCTCTAAGTGGTGACATTTAAAGGTTGTTGCGGAAAAACATTCTTGCCCTCGGACCTCGAACGGCCACAGCAGCTAAGGAGGGGAAGTGGGAGACGGTTGGGATTTCTCCCTCCCTTCCTTCCTTCCTTCCAGCCAATTGTTCTTTTAATTTTTTTTTAAGAAAAGAAGTTTAGACAATTGGAGGGGTTAAATGGTTCGCTCCACACATTCCTCAGAGACCCTAAAAGCAGTGGCGCCCTCTGCTGGAATTTGGGGGAATTACACAAAGTCATTTTGCAGTGAGCAAGCAATGCACGCTTTTTCTTTTGGGGGGGGAGATAACAGGGCAGACACTTCCCCAAAGCAGTTGCACTACCAGCACATCAGGCAGGGCTGGGGAGGGGGTGGGAAAGGAGACCCCAGAGACAGAAAAAAGAGATGCGTTCATTCACCGATCTACCAGAAGATGCATTCATTCACCGATGTACAAGCGAGCCTCTTTCTGTAGCTTGTGGTGGGAGAAATCTAGAACCTCAGTCTTTTATTTCGGGTGGCTTGTTTTCTTTTTTTTAAAAAGTCGCCAGGTGGGTCTTCGTTTCTGAAGGCTCATTTCGTGACTTCTTGGGATACTGCAGGGAAGAAAGGGGAAAAAACCCAGAGTAAGGATAACTATCAACGAGAAGATGGATTTGGAACAGTTCAAGGCCCTCTGCAGGTGCTTCCCTGCAAACAGGCAAGATCAACAACTGCCCATACACACGCACATTCTCTGTGGTGCACCCCTTATGGAAGTGGGGGGAGGAAGGATAGCAGACGAAGTCAGGAATGCTCCTGTTCTTCCAGCATTCCACACAGTATGCAAAACTGAATTATTCAAGAGGGCGTTTTTATAACGGTCACGGGGCTTCACTGTAACAGAATGATTCAGGACCATGCTTTATTTATTTTTATTTATTGAATTAGATTTCTTGACTGAAGAGCCAGTTTGGTGTAGTGGTTAAGTACGCGGACACTAATCTGGAAGAAACGGGTTTGATTCCCCACTCCTCCACTTGCAGCTGCTGGATGACCTTGGGCAAGCCATAGTTCTGTCAGAGCTGTTCTCTCAAAAGCAGTTTCTGTCAGAGCTCTCTCAGCCCCGCCTCCCTCACAGGGTGTCCGTTGTGGGGAGGGGAAGGGAAAGGAGTTTGTAAGCAGCTCTGAGACTCTGAGTGAAGGGCGGGGTATAAAACCAATCTCCTCTTCTTCTTGACTGCCCTTCCCCACTTACGTGGGGCTCAGGGGCCATTTACAACAGAATAATTCAATACGCTATGAAACCAATTCGAACCGTAAAAATTCAATATTAAGAACACTCAAACAAAAATATATGAAAACATTTTAAGAACAAGATGCCATAGCTGGTACCAGAACTTCAGGAGTGCCTATCTGTTGGGGTAGGCCACCCCAGGCGAGATGGGCCAGGGGTCTGCCTTGGGGTAAGGCCATCTCATAAGCAATGCTCCCGCTAACCTGCGGAGTCTTGTGGGCAAGAATCCTGCTTTGTGAGCGACTGACACTTAAGTTGTGCCCGAGCGATTGCGCTGCTGCATGAATTAGTGTGTTCTGGAGCCACATCCTTCCTGAGCTAAGACAAAAAATGGGTGAGCTGGAGGCTAAAAAATTGTGAGCTAGCTCACACTAACTCAGCTTAGAGGGGACACTGCTCATAAGTGTGTATAACCATATATCTTTACAGGGCCAAACTGAGCAAGAGGGCAACCAGGATGGTGAGATTAAACAAGTTGGGGATTCAAACAATAACAAACACTAAAACTCAATCACACTTCTGACAGTCACTGGTTGTACGGTGCTTTAGCATATTATTTGGGTTAATAGACAGATAGGTGACAATCTTAGGATGCCTTAACAGAAGCATTTTGTCCAGATCATGGGAGGTGGTAGTTTCGCTCTATCCTGCTGTGGTCAGGCCTCACCTGGAGTCCTGTGTCCAGTTTTGGGCACCACATTTTAGGAAGGACGTTGACAAGCTCGAGTGTGTCCAGAAGAGGGCAACCAGGATGGTAAGAGGGTTGGAATCCAAGTCTTATGAGGAAAGGCTGAGTTGGGTATGTTTAGCCTAGGAAAGAGACGGCTTAGAGGGGACATGATTGCAGTCTTCAAGTATTTGAAGGGCTGTCATGTAGAAGATGGAGTGGATCTATTCTCTCTTGCTCCGGATTGCAAGACTAGATCTAATGGGTGGAAATCACAAAGGAGTCGTTACCGGCTAAATATCAGGAGAAACTTCCTAACTGTGAGATTGGTTGAGCAGTGGAACAGTCTGCCTCGGGTGGTGGTGGATGCTCCTTCGCTGGACGTTTTCTTTCGGGTATGTTGCAGGGCTATCTTTCGGCTGTGCTCTTGCAGAGTGTAGGGGGTTGGATTAGATGACCTGCAAGGTCCCTTCGAACTCTAACATTCTATGATTCTATGAGCGCACACTTTGCATGGAGAAGGTTCAGCTCCTGGGATCTCCAACTAAAGGACCCTGGAAAGAGGGGTCACCTAGAACCCCAGAGAGCCGCCTCCTCTGATTGGCTGCCAAGTGGAGCTACAGGGAGTCCAGTGGTCCAATCCTGCAGAAGGCAGCTTCAAAGACTTGACCTTCTGAAGCCATACAGAGACTAAGAATAGACTCTGTGCCTCCCCCCCCCCCCCCCCCCCCCGGGCCGCCGCGCCGGCCGCGGTGTTCATGAAAGCACAACGCCTCCCTAATCCACTTTGTACACGTTGGTTAAGCCAGAGCTGAGCCAAAGCGCCGGGCTCCCATGGAGGGGGTGGGGTGTCGGATGCCGTGAGGACAGAAAGGGAGTCACGAGATCTGAGTTTACACCTGCTCCAGTACGCTCCCGATTGTGCCGGATGTCACGTCTATTTCAGCTACTTGGTGGGAGGAGGGTGGAGAGAGAAGAAAACTACACGCACACAGACAAAAAGACGGCACCTCACACATCATCACAGTAAGTCACACAACAACTTTGTAAGACGGGCCAAGGACAAGGGTACTCAAAAATATAATGTCGTTTCAAAGCGCTTGCCAGAGTTTATTTCTCACAATACAAGAACTCCTTGTGGGCACTCCATGAAATTGCTGAGCAGTCGGGTTAGAACGGATGAAAGTACTTCTTCACCCATGGAATCCACTGCCACAGGAGGTGGTGGCAGCTACAAGCATGGAGGGCTTCAAGAGGGAACTGGATAAGCATATGGAGCAGAGGTCCATCAGTGGCTATTAGCCACAAGGTATAGATAGGAACTCTCAGGGTGGGGCAAGTGATGCTCTGTATTCTTGGTGCTTGGGGGGGGGCAACAGTGTCTAGTGTCCTGGCCCCACTGCTGGACCTCCTGATGGCACCTGGTATTTTTGGCCACTGTGTGACAGTGTTGGACTAGATGCAGGGCCGGGGGGGGGGCTCTGCAATTTACCTGGCTGCTTCTTGCTCCTCGGGGCCCGACTGAGGGCTGCTGGGAGTTAGGGGCAGGGCTTGTTGCATGCGCCCGCCTCCTGGGCTCCTTACTGCCGGAGCTCCGCTCCTGTGCGCTCCGGCAGGAAATGACCCCTGGGCCTGATCCAACATTGGCTTCTCTTATGTTCTCTTATGATTACCACACAGGCCTTGAGTTGAGGCCTCTTGAGTAGGAAAGGGGGTGGATGGGTGACTAAAGCGTGTTATGACTGGATGGTGGCTGTAGCCGAGGGGGTGGATTTATCCGGGTTTGTGCAGAGAGAGTTTGTGAGGGTGAAGGGAAGAGCTGAATGGATGAAGAGGTTGAGTGAGATGATATGGAATATGAGAGGAAATCTGTCTTCTTTGTGGAAGTTGTTAGCCTAAGGGGCAAGTGAGGAAATTAAGCTCTTGTGGAAGTTATTAGCCTAAGGGACAAGTGGGGAAAATAAGCCTGTGTGGCTAGGTCTACTTAAGGAACTTTAAATAAATGGTAAGAACTGTACCTATTTGAAACTGTGATGCTTGTGAACTATACACCAAAGCTTTTATGCTGTGTTACTTCTAAATAAGGAGCTGAGGTGGCTCAAGTGGTAAAGACGCTGAACTGCAGGTTGTGGAAGGTCGGTAGTTCAGCAGTTCGAGACCCGAGTGTGCCGCATGACAGAGTGAGCTCCCGTCCTAGCAGTTTGAAAGCAAGAAATTGCAAGTAGATAAATAGGTACCACTTTGATGGGAAGGTAACAGCGTTCCGTGCGCCTTGGTGTTTAGTCATGCCGGCCACATGATCACGGAAACGTCTTCGGACAGCGCTGGCTCTTCGGCTTGGAAACGGAGATGAGCACTGCAACCCTAGAGTCGGATTCGACTGGCTTCTGAGCAAGGGAACCTTTACCTTTTACTTCTAAATAAACATGTTTAAGCGAAAACAACTGTTTTACTTCAGAGCCACCCCACCATGCTGAGCTGTTCTGTCATTTCGCCAAATATAAGTAAGCTGTTCTGTTCTTTGGGTTTAACTATGGCTGCTGTTGGCAGCAGTGAAAATAAGTAGAGAAAGGTAAGGAAGGCAAGGGTTCCCAGAAAAGAAGCAAACCGTTACACTGATGTGCTAGGAATTTTCCACTCTCTATGGTAAAGACCATGGAGACTTGGGGAGGCAGCCTAGAACATCACCTGGAAGTGATATCACATCCTCTCCCAGTACACTTCCCAGGCACCCTCCCCCCAACCAGGGCTCATTTCCTAGAAAAAGAGGTGCAGGCGCTCATTTGCATAACTTATTTGCATATGCCACACCCCCTGACAATAGGCAGGCATGTTTAAAATGAGTTAAGGCATATGTAAATGAGTTTAACCCCCCCTCCCCTGAGTCTCTCCGCAAAAGCGGGCTGGCTAGAGAAGGGAAGGGCAGGAAGGCAGACATGCCTGGGTTCCCTGCTCGATCTTCTACAGGTGCCCCGCAGCTGCGGGGCACCTAGAGAAGACCGGGCAGGGAACCCAGGCATTTAAATCCCCCCCTCCCTGAGTCTCTCCACAGGCAGGCCAGGAAAGGCCGGGGGTCGGGGCCTTGGCTCCTTACTGCCGGAGCACCACTCCGGGGCGCTCCGGCAGGAAATGTCCCCTGCCCCCAATCATCATTTTCCAGCATTTGCCAAGGCTGTGTTTGGAGTGCTATTTCCATATGTATCGGCTAGATATGCCAAATCCCTCGCCCGAAGCCGCAGCAATCCAAAACCTTAATTGCAGAAGGCTTTTGGTTGAGGACAGTGACGGTTTCCATCTTGGCTGGCACCCTTTTTTGTTCCTTCTGTTTACATTTGCGTGCCTCTAAAACTGGATTAATCAGTATTCGCCATCTGATCTTTTCCTGAAACGTGTTGTTTTCATCTTGCTATCTTTTTTATGCAGATTGTACATCGCCCATTGCCAGGATCGAGTGATTAATACATTCAGTGTATCAGTAAATAAATATAAGCCTGTCTACCCTTCACTCCTTCACATGGCAGCCCTTCACTGTGAAAAGACCCACTGGGAGGTACATAGAGGAAAGAAGCGAGACTGGGGCTACCTCTGACTCCAGGAGGGCGGGTGTCGGCCAGAGATCGGAGAACTGAACAGAAGCAGGAAAAGAGAGAGAAAAGAGACAGAAGTGAGATTGTGTAACGCACCAGGGAAAGATGCCGATGCACATATACGGTAGGCAGATGACACTGCTTTTTTTAAAAAAAATGCTTCTAGTCCTCATAAAGGAATCTTGAAAGCGAAAAGGACAGTGTCTAGCAGACGCTCTGATCTAGAGACGAAAGGATTTCACCCTTATTCTTTTCCTCTGGTGTTCCAAAACTTCCACCTGCTGCAATCTGCTTCCTTTGAATCCTGGCTTAACATTGTTAGACATGGCGGGCGGGCTCGGTATTAAGTTTTCCATCAGCACCTCCCCCTTCCCACCGCAGGCAGCTATGAAAGGCTGTCCCTTGGAGAGAGGGAACCATGAGAAACAGCATGTGTGTGCGCGCATGCGTACGCATGTGTACAGGGATCTGCAACGGGAAGAGGCAATTGGTGGAAGTGGCCCATTTAGTCTGGATCCAACCCAACTTCTGCCACAATTGGTGTGCACCTCCCTCCACCCCATTAGCAAGAGGCGCACACAGACAACAATAAAACACTATTAAAATTTAAACACTTAAAACTGCAACACAATGGCAGACGTGACCCCTACTTGCACGACAGGTCACCCATCCACACGCTTGTTTCCGTGCAATAATTATAGCGCCTCCCATGGGCACAAGCCCGTGTGTGACTACAACAAGACTCTTTCGGTAAGAAACGCTACAGTGTGTTGGGTGTGGGGGAGAGATGCAAGTGATCCGAGATTTGCGTGTGCCCGGCCGTTGGCGCAGAACAATGGAGTCCCCCCTCTTTGTCCCACTTCGAAAACAAGGCCAGGAAAGTTTGGAACTCCAGAATCCAGGGAGTGATTTGGAAGCGTTCCGACACGCTTCAGACCTCTCTCCTCCACTCACAGGTCGAATCTGCATTTGCATTTTAAAATCATTTTCGTGCTGCTGTGACGCCGTCTTTCTCTATTGCTTGTTTGAATGTTGTTTGGAGAAGATTCTTTTGAAGCAGGGGGGGAGGCGCAATGACAGTGGAGCCGCCACAAGAAAGTGATAAACATATGTGGACATGCAAAAGTATGTTAGCACTGTTGAGGTGTGAAAACAAAGCCAAGTGTACACAGTTTTGTTTAAGACGGAGTCAGAAGGCTGGGACACCGGTGGGAAAGACAAATGCAGATTCGACCACAGCTAGGATTTCCCACAGTGCTGCACTACCAGGGTTGCTTCACCCATCGCAGGAAGACAGCCTGGTTTCTGGACAGCCCCTCTCCTCTGACAATCGATGACGGGGTACAAAGTCGCAAGTTTTACGTGCAGAAGATCCCAGCTGCCTAAAGAAAGGCACTATCAGATAGAGGAGTTTCTAGACACCTAAATGGCGTTCACTGACCCATCAGGGACCGGTGCGGTCAGGAACCTGCAAGACCGCTGATGGATGCAAACATCTTTGGTGACACAGTTGCCAGGCAATGCCTAGCAACTGGTGGGAATGTTGTTGGGGGGCAGCATCCTCGGAGAAAAATTAAAAGAGAAAATAAGGCCTCGTCTGCCTACAGGAAGAAAGAGTTAAGAACGTCCTTTAAATAGATCACTGATCTATTTAAATCACTGATTGAAGACAGAGCGGCCTGATCTTACCACACACCGCAAAGCATTCTGGGTAGCACATGTCAGGTTCTGCTGACGCTCCATAACCCTCTCCTCTTGACAGCCTACCTTCCCCGGAAGCTGCAGAGGCCGCGTCGAGGGCCCTGCCGCTGAGGTCGCTCAGGACGCTGTCCACGGTCTGGTGGTGCCTCAGGAACCACGGGCGGATGAAACTGCAGTAGAGAACCTGGGAGCCGTTCCACGAAACGGGAGCCATGCACCAGAGCAGGAAGACACACTTGGGGGGGAAACGGGGGGGGGGGGTGGGGGGGGAAGCCTGGCCAGAAGAACAGGGATCAGTCGCAGCCTTGAGAAGCCAACAGCAGGCCCTCTCAAACCAGTGCCCCTTTTCCCAAGACCCGTCTGCCAAATAGGGCTAATGCCACAAAAAAATTGAAAGCTGTATAGTGATTGCGCCTAAGACGGTTTTTTTAAAAATAAATAAAACACAAAGTCTCTATATTTCTGAGGTAGTGCACGTAATCGGGGTTGACAAGCAGTAAGATATTCAAAAAAACACAAACCCTTTTTCCAAAAAATTATTAACACCTTTTGGATTGTCAAAAGCTATTAATTGCATAGCGATGTTATCTGAAACTATCAAGTCCCACCGTTTAGATCTCTATTGTGACAGATTTGGCACCTTAAACAATTTCCAATTTAAAGCAATTAAGTTTTTTGCAGCCAGCCATTAGCATAGTAGAAATTAACTCTTCGTTCTGTTTAGACCGCTTCGGACCTGGCCAAAAATGTAACAAAAGAGATGCAGGTGTATTTGGAATCTCATAATTAGTTATTTCCTTTACTTCAGCAATGACCGTAGTCCAAAACTTTTTAGTTCGGGGACAATCCCACCAGCAGTGTAAGACTTTTTTAAACAACAATTATATAATCAGAATACAAAAAGTGAATACAAAATAAACAATGCTGTGCCCATCGAGGCCTATTGCAAACTCTTGTTCCAATAATGCCATGACACATCAGTGAAAATTAATGGTATTTACCAGTTGAAAAACTGACCAGAGACGCTGCATGCTCTTCTGTTGGATCCCCAAGCATCGAGAATAAATCCACGTTTTCAAGAAAAGCAAAATTTATTTCAAAGCGTTGAAGACATACTCAAACACGTTCTTTGTTAGAACTGGGGATACACAGTTAGGTCAAGCATAATAAAGGAAATTCAAACAGATACAGATCCAATGAATAGCATTCCCGCTGGCGGGCTAATGAAACGGTTGC